GAAGGGGTGTTGTGGCGGGTGGTGGGGGGGCGGGGGGCGGCACCGGCAGCAGCAACAGCAGCAGCTCAGGGCAGGGATGAAGCCGGTGCCTCGCCGTGAGCGTTGTTTACATGCCATGTCTGTGTGTTATTGATCTATTCATCTTCATTACATTTCCCTGTGAGAACTATCCACCGCTGCCAGCCTCGGTCGGGGACCTGCTCTGCTGACATGCACTACACGGCCTCTTGTCAGAGCCTAACAATGTCGCTGCCACTGCTCCTCCTCTAGGAAGAAAGTGACAGTTTTATTACTTGTTGAAAAAGTCATCGCACTTCACGGCGCCATCCGTTGATATTAGTTCTCTGTGCGTCGGGCTGCGGGTCATGCAGAAAGAAATAAAGGAGGTGAAATGCTGTATACGCAAGCAAAGTTACTACGGATGTCCGATATTAGCATAATTAGGTTATATCTGTAAGAATCGTTAGCAGTTTTTCCTCCAATATTAAAAAGCTGATAATGAAACGCACGGTTTTACCAAATGATGTTTGGCCTAGAAATAGATTTGGGGAACAACAAATGTATATGAAAGTGAAAGTCAGTAGATGGCAGCATTGCAGCTCATTTTATTTTATTAATCTATTTTGAAAAAAAAAAAACTTCTGTCCCCTGGCGGGGCATGGCAGACGATAATTTAACCTTTCACCTTAGTGAGCACGCAACTTCCTTAACCACCAGGCCACCACTGCCTAGCTATATCGGTATGGTTGATATCGGAATTGGAAATTGAGTGATATCGGCATATCAGACATCAGCAAAAAGTTAATGTTGGACATCCCTAATTTTTAAATTAGTTGGTAAAGTTCATTATGTCATGATTAAAACTCAAATCTGTAACTCTGTGATTTAATCATTTTGAGCCAAAGAGTTGAAGAATAAGTTGATTAACGCAGGCGGACGTCATCCGTGATCTTCGTCTCTGACCTGCACAGCACATGTTACATGTCACTGAGTCATACCTCCGCCCACTGGTGTTCACAGGAGACGTGACTACATCCGTATCAGAACGCAGCACACTGTAGAATAACGAAGAAGTTCCCAGGGTTACAGGAAGGAACGTTCCTCAGCGTTCCCGTTGATCCCGTTCCTCTGGTCTCGGCTGGTTCTCCAAATGTCTGAACTCAGTGAGGCAGCTTCAGCTGCGACTACATCCGTATCAGAACGCAGCACACTGTAGAATAACGAAGAAGTTCCCAGGGTTACAGGAAGGAACGTTCCTCAGCGTTCCTGTTGATCCACTACATCCGTATCAGAACGCAGCACACAGTAGAATAACGAAGAAGTTCCCACTTTTGACTTGTTCACGTTGTTCTGTTTTATTTTTGAACAAACTGGATCGCTCTCATCTTTCTTCCTCTTTTCTTTTCATAGATTATTCATCGATCTGGAGGAGAACATCGTCAGTGCTGGGAAAGACGAGGAAAATGAGCCCGTTGCGGGGTGGAGGGCACGGTTGCTATGAATGAAGGAGCGCTGCGGAGTCAATGGAGACCGAAGGCTATCGTGACCTCCTGGAGACCAGCGATGGTCAGGGTGTGGACCTGCTGGACGGAGGGGTGGAGGTGGGTGTGGAGGAGAGCTGGAGCACACCGTACCCTCTGGGCTTCCAGGTGTCGCTGACCACCGTGCTGATGCTGGAGCTGGTGCTGGGCTTCAGCAGTAACCTCACCGTCCTCGTGCTCTACTGTGCCCAGTCCAACCTGGTGGATTCGGTCAGCAACCTGGTCACAGTCAACCTCCATGTGCTGGACATTCTGGTCTGTGTGCTGTGTCTGCCGCTGACCGTGGCTGTCATTCTGCTCCCGGCCAGCGGGAGTGAGCTGAACAGTTTAGCCACGTTGTGCTGCTTTCACGAAGCCTGCGTGACGTTCACCAGTGTGGCAACTGCGGTCAACGTCCTCGTGATCAGTTTGGACCGATATGACATTTCCGTGCGTCCCGCTAGTCGGCTGCTGACCCCCAGGCGGGCTGCTCTGCTCCTGGCAGCGGTGTGGGTCGTGTCTCTGGCCGTCTTTTTTTTGCCCTTTCTGGAGGGGGACTTCTTCTCCAGAGCTGACGATGGTGACGATGAGGAGGCAGAAAGTCACAGCAGGGAGCCTGAACTCACCACCAGTCTCACCCCAATCTTTTCCTCTCTTTCTCCCTCCTTGTTACCCTCCACCCCCTCCTCCTCTCCACCTCACCACCTGCCTCCTGTTTGGCAGAACAGAACGCTGCTGTGTGTTGGAGGGCAGGGGTATTACACCGGCATGGCTATGTACTACCATCTGTTACTCCAAGTACCCTGCTTCTTCATCGCCGTGGCCGTCATGTTGTTCACCTACTCCAGGATCCTACAGGCTCTCAACATCCGCATCGGCTCTCACATGATGAGGGGAGCGCGCACCAAGGACTCCACCTGCAGGATACGCTGCAGAAGGCGGAAAAGGAAGGATCTGAGCCTGCCCACAGAAATAATCTCCTCAAACCAGAACCAG